CGGGCGCCGCCGAGCGCTCCCGCCGGCCCTGCCGCGCCGCCCGCTGCTTGTCAAGAGCCCGAGGGACAGCCGGAGGGATAAAGAGTTTTATTGTAAGGACGGAGGAAGAGGTGGTCCTCCCCCTCATCACAGTTGACTTTAAAGTGCTCACCCTAAATAAGATACAGAGGTCATGTCTGCACTATAGAATATAAGATAAATTATACCATGCATCCATTAACAAAATATACAAAGCCAACAGAAACATCTTAAGCCTGAGCATACATTATCTAAACCCTAGTAAAAAGTCACCTAGAGAAAACGGCATTTCACACGTCACATTTCACTCTGTATGAAGTGTTCCTCCTCAAACGTCTTAGTGTTTTGCTAATTTATAGAACACAGTAACATTCCAAGTATGAGGGTACACACAGAAAGAACATGTGTCCTGCTGGGCATTCCAGATCAAAGCAGATAACCACACTATGCTTAGAAATTTCACCAGCTACTGCACTTCATCCATGTCATTTCCTCCTCCTCATTCTAGCATAGGCATAAGCGAAAGATACTCAAAACTATGCATAAATTAAGGGGGGGGGGGAACACTGGTTTCAAGTTACAGAAAGATCTTTATCTGGTCCACAGCAGGCAGCTGTACTGGCATACAGAGAGATGGGAAACACTGCAAAATAGTTCTACTGTATTTCAAAATAAACATTTAAAGAGTATATCTTCCACAATCTATAAAAATAGGTTTAAAACAAAAAAATGGTATGATATTTTTTTTCTTCAATTAGTTTAATGGTATCTTATCTCTAAGGGTATTACATCTTTTAAAAAATTACTACTACTCATCACCTGGTCAGTCACAATACTGATACTACTTCAGCTACATTGTGACAAAACAGGAACACCTTAGTTTGAAGCAGCAGTAATATGAAATATTTTAGGATCAATGGTCTCTTACTGCAGCAAGGAAAAAAGTTTGCTTAGAAGTAAGAACATAGCCAACACTGCTGTCACCTTCAGAGGGACTGGACTCTGAAAAGTCATCTATGGATACACCACTGCACAGCAGTATATGTTGCTTGTTTCTTGCGATTCTTCAGAATCAAATCTCTCTTAGCACATATAGAAGGGAATTCTTAGATTTTCAAATTAAATATGGGCATCTAAAGCAAAATCTTGTGAGAAAAATGAATCCTGCAGAAGTGTCTATGGAAACATGGGAGCAGCTAGAACCATCACAGGAGACTGTACACTTAAAACTCCTTAAGTTAATGCATTTTTCAAACTATAATTGTAAGTCACACAATCCCTACCTCAAGCACTCTGCCCATTCCTAAACATTACCAGAGTTTGTACTCCAATTCAGGTCTGGGTTTCTATACATTCTTCAATTCTTCTATGTGGTATTAACAGAATAAAAGTTTTGCACTATACTGAAAAAAGGTAGTGGTCAAATTTTTAACATTTTTACAAAGAGCCTGTAAAGATTCTTAGAAAGGCCCTTCCTACTCTTACACTCCATGTTTAACAAAATATTTTACGTAGGCTGTATTTTCCTGTTAGAGGTATGTTTTGCACTATCATTACTAGAGCTGGTTCAATTGCTGCTGGTAAATTCACTCTCCTGCTTCATTCTGCTACAAGAAACAATGACTTCCCTGGCATTTATCAGTTTAACAGTGGTTACACTTTCAGACTTTTCAAAAGTTGTTTGATGGTTCAAGATAGCTTTCATGTATGAGCGATGTTTTTCTTCTAAGACTCATTTGTAAGATTTAAGTCTGTTATATTACTATCATGCATTGGACACATCAATTACTAAATCGTATCAGAATAAACAACTTTTTAGTTGGGGGCATCTCTTGTAAATTAGGCAAGACTACATTTTACAGCAGCATTTTACATTGGTTCCTATTCCAAAGCTTGTTATAAGGTCAACAAAACAAGTTTCCAGCTGCCTAAAGAAAAAAAAAAATCTTACACACAATCAAAGGGGAAGTTCTTATCTGGGTGGAGGTTTAAGTAATTCTACAGAATTCCCTGATAAAAGGATTCAGTACGAAATTAGAGACTTAAAGACTACTCATTTAACTATGAGGTCCAAATAACAGTTGAAATTCTGGTCTCCAATTCATAAGATGCTGTGACAAGCACTGTTTGACATTTCAATGAGAAAAAAAGTCAAAAGCTCAAAGAAAAGCCAAAGTTTTAGTCACACCTCCAAACAGAAAGCAGCTGAAGAGCAGCCTGCTACTGTTGCAGTGTTTAACGAGAGTTTACTCAATGAAGACAATTCCTCCTTCCACCAGGAAGGTTCAGCATCTACTGCTGTACCAGTCACTGTTAGTGATCTGAAGCAATTCAGTTACCACTTGAACCATATTATTGTTGTGTTTCTTCAGCAGTCGCAGGTTTAACTGCCTGTCACAGAATCCCATCTCACACAGACTGGATAGAAGAGTGGCAGTGTGCTCTTCTGTAGCTGCAGGCTGCTGAAAACAAAAAGATAGTGAAATAAGCTATAAAAAGATCATTTATTTTTGCCATTTGAAGCAGTGGTCTTACATTATACTGGGATGTAATTAAGGCACAGGGGCCCTTTTGTCCACAATTAGCCATTTATATTCACTTTCACTGTTCACTTAAAGGTGAATTACTACTCTTACATGATGGTGTAAGAGACATGCTTCTATCCCCATGGTATCGATTTCCCTATCTGCTGGTAGAGCAGCATACTTCAAAGGGATGCCATCAAGCTTAACATTTTACTATTGCATGAAGTCCTATAGAAAATACTGATACATTTATAAAACATGCACCTATAATTTTAAGGTTGGCATTCTGTGAAACTCACATAGCATACAGGAAAGACATTTACCTGTTGTATAATGGGTGGTCCAGCAAATAATGCTTTGTAGGCAGAAGCAGCAACCGACAAAGCTCCTTTAACTAGTTCTCCTGCAATGCTGCTTCCTTGAGGGTATCTGCGGAGAAGTCAAGCATTACTTTAGGGTCACTAAAGCCACGTGTTTGTTTCATGCGAAACACAAGTCTCTCCCTGTTGATGTGACAACTGAGATTTAGTTCTTGTTGGAGAGAACAACCTATGATACAAAGGAATCACTGCTGTTCAGTAATTGAGCTATGTAAGAAGCCTATTCCTTCGTTCTTGATACCTTCTATTAAATTATGGTTTTATGCTAATGTACCTTAGTTTGCTTCCATAACATGACCTTTTGTAAAGAATTAAGTATTCTCACCCAGAAGAGTACATCTATACATGAAAGCTGCATACTATGACACATCCATTCAGGCCAGAGTAACTTCCGTTTGTTTTCCATCAATTCTTAAGTCACTTAATATTCTGCTCAATGCTTTGTCTTATTCCTTCAGCCTCAGTGTCTTAAGATGCTTAACTTTGTAGCTAACTTACAAAATCCCTATTTTAAGAATCCTGAGATTTTCCAGAAAAACACCACAGAATTTTTAGAAGGTTTCAGCTTGAGCTCTTCATACACTTTTGCTTGCCAATTCTGCATCCTTCACTTTCCTAAGTAGAAACCGAGATCTTATGAAAATATAGCATTATATAATTCAGTATATGTTTCCTTTAAGGGAGGCCTTTCTCCAAAATATTGACTACATGAAATCTCTAAGCCAGTGCTTCTTCCTAGGTGCCTAATTTAGCAGTTCTTAGTTTAAAACAGTATTTGTGAAGTCACAGCTTCAGTTTCATTACCTTGGGTATTCTGAGCACTTCTGTTTACTAGTTAGAAATCCAGAAGATCCTGGTCCATGACTGACTTTGCCACTAGGTTCTAGAAAAGCAAGAAAAAAAGAAAATATCACATCAACATGCCCAGTTAATGAAAAGCTGAAGAGATGCAACATGTACATAAATGGGAGTGTGATTCAGTCCAAAATTAATACTTTCAAGTTTAGTTATCCAGACACAAACTAGATATGCAAGATTCTCACTGCAGTCAAAACAACCGAAGTATTTCAGAAGTCATTTGGCTGATTAGTCAGCGGGTGTTCACTTTAACATGAGATGAACTGCTGTCTGAGTTCCCAGTCATTTTAACAGCAGCTTAAATACATAGCTCACTAATTCCAGAACAAGGTAATTTTCTAGATGCCTACAAATACTTTTGAGTACCCTCCTACCACTTCTAATGAATAGATGCTCTTAACTGAGCCACAAAGCCAATTATTTCTTTATTCAAATCTTCTATATAGTAAAATTTCAACACCAGAGAAAAAACAATCATTACTTGGTAGATTTCTGCTCTCCTCAAGAATAACAAGACATCAAATCCAATACTAGGCATAAGGAATAGGTGATAACAATAGGATGCACCCTTCATTAAGTACCGTCAATATCTTCTCTTATTTGATGATGAGGAGTGGAAGAGATATTCTCCAATGCTGATATGTTTGGTTCTTGAAAGATACGATTCTGAAGAGATGCAAGATTCCTGAGAACATAAGGCAAAAAAAATTACTTTTACTACTTTCATTCTACATGTACACATGTAGGTAGGTCAAGATCAACAGGGGGAAAAAAAGAAAAAAAAAAAAAAAAAAAAAACCTTCACACCCCCCCCTCTTTCCCTCTCTTGCACTCACCTAATCAGTGAGTACAGGCTTTAGGACATTCACTCCAGTATGTGACAAAACTTTTGTTGCAACAATTTCTGTTTGGACACCGAACTTAAGCACAGCATTGCAGACTCTACAGCAACACTAACATAACCATTTTGTTCTTGTCCAAGAAGTATACCTTTGCGTCTGGGGTAAGGTGTCCGCAATCTCTGGGGTTAGTGGTACTATAGCCAGTGTCTGTGAGGTTGTCAAAGTATCACTGACACTGTGGATCTGCAGCTGGCTTCCTCCTTCTGGATGCTCTGCTCCTGTTTCTGGTTCTCCTCTCTTCTCCAAACTGGGCTGAGAAAGAGCTGAACTATACATAGACTCCCCTAAAGGACGACTGGTGTCAAAACACTCAGGGAGAATAATGATATAATCCTCTGACGAAGCAGAGGAGCCTTGACTTTGAACATCATCTTTATCATCATCTTCTTCCTCCTCATCAGAATTGCCAGTATCACTACAGGGGCTTGGTCTCTCATCAGATAGTGGAAGGTCCCCTAACAGGAAAAAAAAATGCTAAGTATTAACACTCTATCCATTTTGTATGGATAACAGCAAAGACAGTATTGACCCAGACATGAGAGGCAAGTATTCAGAAACAACTGTAAACTTTTGCTACTGCTATTAATGGTATATATTGGGGGGGGAGGGGGGGGGTATAGTGTGAAGGAGTAATAGATCTTACTGTTAAGCCTATGCAGATAGGCTGCTGATATATGTATACTGCTTATAATAAAAACAGGAATAAGAGCTACACTGAGAACTTAAAATAGCAGTTTCCAGCTTCTAAATTACATACATCAGAAACAGTTCAAAGCACTGACTTCAAGCTACATGTACAAAATATGGAAACGCCGGCCATGTTTAACATATGAGCACTTATTCGAATACCCAATGGGAACCTTTATGTCTCAGTTTTGCTTTTTTTAAAGCAGCTCTTAAACTAGCTGCTTGTTCAGAGTACTGACATCAATTTTTTGACAAAATAATGATTCTCTTGACCTTATGAGGATCAATTTCCTAGAACAGTGTCAGATCTTTTTACACCCAATTTTTTTTAGCCCTTATTACAGCTTTATCTTAAATTCAAACCTATTTTACTTACCACAGTCATTTTCTGTCATTGCCTCTGACTGATGACTCTTTGCTTCCTTTTTGGAAGCGAAATTACTTTTTATTCTAGAAGATTCTTCATTTATCATACTGCAACTGAAGGTGTCTTGCAATGTTTGTAAAGAGTCTAATAAAACAATCAGGAAAAACAATTAAAGCTTGTCACCACCTGCAGTGCAGGGCAATTTGTGGCCAATGTCTGACTGCAAAAAAGTAAAGCCACAGAAGCCAGCTAGAGACAGTACTTACTCTGGAGGATTTTCTTTTTTTGTGGGGGCTTATGGTCAGGTGCAGCATCCAGGGTTAGAGACCGAATTACAGTTTCACAGACAAACTGAGTCCCACTCATATCTTCTTCCCCTTCCTCCTGGTTCAATGGATGTTCAGCTTTCACTTTCAGTCTGCAAGTATCTGCAGGAAAGCAGGCTTCCGTCATTCCTTTGAAAGGGAAGCACAACAGATAATTTTAACGCTACCACATGGAAATACAAGAAGAATTTTTCAGGCTAGCCAAGGCTAAATTGACTCTATGTGTTAATTCTTTTTAAAAATTGAAAGATTTGGGAATTCAGTTCAAGTTGAATGTGAAAGTAATTGAGAAATACGGGGGCCACACCTGGAGTGTTTGAGTGTAATCTAGTCTATGAAGGGCAAATTCTTAATTCTCCCAACAATTCTAGTGGTTGGACAAATCAAGAGAAGCATTTGCATTTCTGAATTCTACATATATTATGCTCCAGACATACATATATTACACATCAGACTACTGGTTTGAGCCAAACAACTGTTTGTTTTTCCACAAAAGGGAAAGACAGGACTAGAATTCTTTTTAGACATCAAGTCTGCTGACGGCACAGAAGTGACAATATCTTCCTCCCCTCACCCCCAAGCTCCCCATGACTACTGCTTACCAGGCACTGGTTTAAATCCACTCCCCTCATTCTCCTCCTCTATCTGACCTAAGCCAGGTTTCTCCAGCAAGGGGCTTTCATGTGGCAAAGGGGACATGCAGGGAGTCATGTCTGAAAAACAAAGGTAGCAAAGATAATTGGCACTAAGGCAGTAGGAACCTTCCTTCCTCCAGGAGGCAACCTTTTCAGAAGTTACCCTTTTTTAAACCACATTTTTCTAAGACTGAAGAAACCCAGTTATCTTACAAGATAATTTGGTGAAATAAACAGCTAGCTTAGCATTACACTAGCACTGGTTAAGCAAAGAAAATGGCAGCCTTCTTCAATGTCTGGAATCTTATGGTCTTGGGGATGTGAAGCTGAAAAGAAGCCAAGATTGAAAAATACAAAGGATAGCTCTCTCTGCTAGAGACAGCACACAGATATAGGAGAACCTTACCAACAGGAGTATTGTGTGGCACTCGCTCCAATTCCTGCACAATATTAATGTCCAACAGCTCAAAGGACAGCAAATCCTACAGAAAAAAACACCACAGTTTTCATCAGCAAACGCTGAAATGGAATCCTATGCTGTACTTCCCAGCACCAGATCCCAGGAACTTACAAATAACTCTACTT